TTCCGCACTTTGTACTAGGAGGTAATTTTGCAATGAAACATTCATTTGCCTAATATAAAAGCCTTCCTATTGAGACATTAATTTATTTCAATATTAAGATGTTTAATGCTCCTCAATTATTGTCTCAGTAACGGTATGTTTTAGACTTGTATTGTCGCTGTTTTAGCTTTTATGCATTTGTAATTTTGTAGGTCTTCAACCTCTGTCTTATGCTGACAAATTGGTCTATTTCATCTTGATGGTGTACGTACCAACTAAGGATGTGATTGGAATTTGGGTTAAAAAGTCTCTCAGTCTATGACTGAAGTATAGAACAAATATCACGAAATTTGTGTTAAAAAGTCTCTCAGTCTATGAAGCTCACTTGGATGAATGTGATGCTACAAGGGAATAACCGTGGTTTGAAGTATTAGCTGATGTCAATAAAGTGCGCAAGTCTATTTTACAAGATTTTTCAGCAGTTACTGTATATACAAACTTACCAAAAGAATGTTAATGCTTCATTTTATAGGTTTTTGATGTTTATATTCTACTTATTTGAATTTTTATTTGAATTAATTTCAGGGGATGAAGGATGTGAGATTGATGCCTTGATGGGCTCACTAAAGTCAAAATCCAAGGACTCTAGCATATTTTTCTCTCTTTGGTTAAGATTCTCTACATGAAATTGATTGTAATAGACTTTGTTGGTTAAGATTTTCTATATGAAATTGATTGTAATAGAATTTGTGACTAGAAATGGATTATAGTTTATATTAGGAATATCATGACATTTACTTTAGATTTGTTTTGGTTTAGAAATGGATTATAGTTTATATTAGGAATATCATGACATTTACTTTAGATTTGTTTTGGTTCTTTCATTTATATTTCTTTCTGCAAATATTATGTATGAGAAATGTTGTTATTTAATTAGTGGAATTGTGATTGTGCTTCTGCTTGTTAATATTTATAAACTCGAAGTTGACGTCCACTCAAGTTTTTGTGTTAGGAAATTGCCAATTTTTCTTGAGTTAAAATTGTGTAAACATGTACAATAACTTGTAATTTTTTTGAAAATATGACAGAATTACAATTTAATTTAATTATTTTTTGTAAATTATTTAAAATCTAAATCTAAATCCAAAATGTATGAATTAAAATTATATTGTGATAATTTTCTTACTCTTTTCCTCAGAAAGTCAACCAAACAAGAGAGAATGACTTTCTTATGAATTTTCTTCTAACTTTCCTTACAATATTCTTTCTAACCAAACAATAAAAAGATTATCATTTTCTTTTCTTTTTCTTTTCCTTTCTTTTTACTTTCTCTTTCTTTTTCTTTTCTCTCCCTTTCTCTCAAACCAAACATAGCCTTTTGGAGGATTTCAATAATCCCGCTCTGAGTGATTTGGCGTTGATTACGTTGTTAATTGGTAAAGCTAACTGCTGAGTCCATCTCTGCTCGTCGTTCGGTGCTGAGCTCACTACTAAGGTCACCAACTTCAGAATCTATGTTGTGCTCTTATTTACTCTCTCCTATTAATTTTTTACAAAGAACCGCAGAATTATTATTATTATTATTATTATTAGGGAACCTTAGCCAGCGGACTGGGCTACTCATGAGTAGGGGTGAGCACGGTTCGGTTCGGGTCGGTTTTTACTAAAATTTGAACAACCAAACCGAACCACCTACAATTCAAAACCGAACCGAACCATTACAAATTGGTTCGGTGCGGTTCGGTTCGGTTTGTTCGGTTCTAACTTCATCAAGTATAACTTCACTTCAATTTATCTTTTATATATTATTATTACGTCTATGCCAGTATGTATTTGTTTTTTAACTTCACTTCAATTTATTATTCTTGCTCATGTATGTATACTGTTTTTAAGTGAAGTAACTTCTCATTTTGGATTAAATACTAGACTCTGACGTTGTAATTTTTTAGTAACGGACTTGCTTTGTCTTTGTGTATCAAGCTTTGAGTTTGGTCTTTGTGGAGACAAAAAAAAGAGCTGACTCATTAGAACATTGGTTATGTATGAATCAATTCCCTGCAACTGCTATTCATGGTGATCGAACACAGCAATAAACCCACAAATCAAAGGCACAAATATATTCGGTTGGTTCGGTTCGGGTCGGTTTGAAAAATTGTCAACCCGACCCGAACCGCCTTACTCATAAAACCGCTTTTTTTGGGTCGGTTCGGTCGGTTTTTTCGGTTTGAACCGAACCGTGCTCACCCCTACTCATGAGGAACCCCTGCAGGCTCGAGCAACTCTCCAAAATGGGGACTTCACCTTGTTACCAGGGGGCCCATTCCTAGGAATTCTGGGCACCTCAAGCAGGCCGAAGTTGCCAGCAGCTAACCAAGTAAAATCCGAGAGCTTTACTAACCACCCTCCCCACTAAAAGTCAAAAAGTGAAGCGGGGGGGGGGGGCTCGAACACAGTACAGAGGAAGTTGAATGGTCTAGCTGTATCTAATAGCTACAGTAAATCGAGCCCATTTCACTGTTTTTTGCTGAGAAATGCTGAGATGCTGCCGACTTAGCTACAGTAACACCATCTCAGCTACATCAACCGCACTTATTTGAGCAAGCCAAACAAATGAGTTGGGGGTAATACTATAGCACCTGACATCTACAGTATTATACCCTAAAAATTTGACAAACAAACAGGTCCTTACTGCAAGAGGGTATTATGTAAAAGTCCAATTTACGTCATTTGGTCGTGGGTCCCATGCATCTTCTATGGGTCTATGTCATTTTGCTTTACTTTTAAGAATTTGAATCATCTCCACTAAAAAAAAAAAACATTAGAGAGATCACTACTTTTAATATTAATAATTGATTATTTAGTAGTCGATTATGATACAATCTAAATCTAACACTCGCTATACCCAGTGTATTGCACTCATCTCTAATTTGCGCTCAAAGAAAAATCACAATCACTAAGTAGATAATTAATGGTTGTGATTATGTGATGGTCTTTTTACTACTTTTTTAAGTAGTGGAGAGGATCCGAATCCTACTTTTAAGAGTTTTTTTTCCTTTTGTCTCTCACTCATCCTATCTCTTCCCAAATATTATATCACATATCTACAATGGTGTAGCCAGGATTTTTTTTGCCCTGGGCGAAAAAATAATTCTGGCTGACGATGAATCCCAAGGCACAAACATCGGCGAAGGAGATGTCTCGTCCTCCTGCTCCTCCGTCGTCGAAGTCAGCACAAAACCTAGCTTTGAGCGGAGAAGCGAGGAGAAGCTCCTCGAGCTCGGCCGTCGAGGGCTCCTCGAGCTCGGAGTCGACAACGGATTTTTTTTGCCCTGGGCGAAAAAATAATTCTGGCTGACGATGAATCACAAAGCACAAACATCGGCGAAGGAGATGTCCGAGGGGTCCTCTCGTCGGAGTCGACAACTGACCTCCAGAAGTTGAGGAGAAGTACAAAAAACTTTTTCCCCCCTTTACATGTTGAATTTTAGCAATAGACCTCACACTTCTATGCTAACTTTTGACATCATATTTCAGATTCTTTAAAAAAAATCAACAAATAATACGAACTATAAAAAAATAATTTCTATACTAACTTTTGACATAATATTTCAGACTCTTTTAAAAAAACCAAAAATAAAACGACCTATATATATAAAACAATGATGGAGATGCAGGGGATCGAACCCTGTACCTCTCGCATGCAAAGCGAGCGCTCTACCATTTGAGCTACATCCCCGTCGCTCAATAAAAATATCTCAGTTATTAGTAAACAATAGAAAAAAAAATAAATACATGACTCCTTCCTTCATTGGGTATGTATGCAGAGATCCCTCCTCAGATTTGTGAGCGACATTCTTGTTATTTTAGAGAAAAAACCTTCCTATTCTACTACGAAGAACGAGATTTATCACCTGAATCGGAATTTAATGAGGGGCAGGATCATGTTACTAAACATTCAGAGAAAGTTGAACTTAATCCAAGAAAATGATGACCGACCGGCACTCACCTTGGATATTAATTGATAGGGTGTTCAGAAATAGTGACAGCCAGCATATATTAGATGCTAATCAAAGGAATGCCATGTATTTGTGTTGTGCTAGTTTTGAAATAATCATTTAGTGTTTTGTGAAATTAGTTCTGTTACACACACACACACACAGAATATATACATATATGCATTCGACGTATCGAGTCGTGCGAAATAATCGGTAGAGCAAAACACAGTACATCAAGATTGGATAACATTGTTTTACAACTGAAATTGTAAGTACAATTTTATGCAATTAACAATAGTTTTAGTGAATAAACTAGCACAAAATTGTCACTTAGTACTGCAATTAGAGTTGCATACAGTTGTCATTTGCATTCAAAAAAGCAAGGAACTGCCTACGTACCCAATTTGAAGTCTAACGGCAGGCAATGAAGCGTGTTTAAATAAAAACCCGATTTTGCAAATGAAACATTCAAATATTCATTCGTTTCACTGGTTAAAACTAAAGATTATGTAACAAAATATGTCATGTATATTTAAATCAGGCTACGACTCAAAAAAAAAACCCCAAAACGTGTCCATAAATGGTCATGACGTAAACTCCGTCCCCTTGGAACATGCAATCCACTAACTTTTTCCCCCTAAGGCGAAACCATATCAAATATTTTTAAAATTGCAAGGGCCTTGAAGCCAGAAGCTGAGAAGGGCTTTCTTTGCGAATACCAGAATTTGAGAGGGCTAAGCTGTCTAAAACAATTTTTTTCGAATGAGTCAGTTGACTGCCCGAGCCAAATCGAGAATGGCGGGAACCGTTCAGATGAGGAAGATCACGCGCCAAACATCGAAAACAACCATTCGAAACTCGACAAGGGAAACTCAGAGTGACGTGGCTAACACTAATTGCACGACGTTGCTGTTTGACGTCTGGAAACACACCGGATCAGTTCCAGCGGGTTCCGCTGTTTCTCCTTCCTCGTTGTCTCGCTGCCGTCTCGACTCATAAAGCGCTCCCGTCCAAATCGACTTCCTTTGTTCTTTTATTTTCGATCGCGATCTCGATCTCGTCTCTTGATCCATTCTAGAGAGAGAGAGAGAGAGAGAGAGAGGATAGAGAAACCCTAATTCTTGGCGATCTTGTTTCTTTGGTCCGCTCAATTCAGAGAGATTCTCTCTGGATTAGCTCTGATTCTTGATCTTGTGTTGGAGAGAGAGAGAGAGAGAGAGAGAGAGAGAGAGAGAGAGAGAGAGAAACCCTAATGGCGGTGGTATCGGCTTTGGCGAAGTACAAGCTGGTGTTTTTGGGAGATCAATCGGTGGGGAAAACGAGCATCATCACTCGATTCATGTATGACAAATTCGACACCACTTATCAGGTAATTTCTCTCAATTTCCCTCATTTTTGAGTTTCAATCGCGTCGATCAACCTAATTTGTTAGAGTATTTGCTAGCTCTTGTCGGATTTGTCAGTTTAGTCTCCAGATCTTAAATCAGATGTGAGATTATGTAAGCTTAGGGCCTTAGTTTTATTCGAATCTAGACTGTGAAATTTGACTCGCTGTAATTAGGATTAGTATCCTGTGAAATGAAATCTCACCTTATTTTTTGGTTAGAAATTAAGAAAGTCACATGCCTGTTATAAGGGTTAAGTGTTGCGAACCTGAACACCAATGTCGCGCACCTATGCGGAAGCGTGCACGCGCACACCGAACGAGTCTAAGACCACTGAGAAGAAGAGAACCACACACAAGCACAATCCAATCCAAATATGACAAATCCAAACCAAACACAAAGATATACGTGATTCGGCAATTTGCCTACGTCCACGAGGAGAGGATGAGAAGATTCCACTAAATCAATGAGAGTACAAAAAGGTTACAATCACACAAAATCACTCCAACTAACCCTCAACAAAAACTCTCAACTTGCTCACAATATCTCCCTCTCACAATGCTCAAATCTCTTATATCTCTCTGCTATATTAGAAACCTAAACAACCCCTTTTATATGTGTAACAACGTGGGTGGCAAAGTGGTAAATAACCAAGCCCAAACCCCACAGGAATTCGTGCAAACAGAGACCCAAATGAACCAGGAAACCATCAATGAGTCAACTCATGACTGAGGTGAGTCGACTCGTCAGAAACTTGACAAAACAAAAACCATCTCGATGAGTCGACTCATGACTGAGGTGAGTCGACTCGTCAGAAACTTGTGACAAAACGACTGGGTTTCGTGATGAGTCGACTCAACCTGATGAGTCGACTCGTGTGCATGTATGAGTCGACTCACAATCTGAAAACTAGATTTTCTGAATTCTTCCATAATTCTCCACCTCGACGAAATTTGTCAAAACTGAGCCGACACCAAACAAAGAGCATCAATATGTCGTCTCTCCAAATACGGCTGCACCAACATGATTGCCTACGTACCCCCTCTCCCAAGGGATCAAGCCGCCTGTAGTTCATCCAAATGGCCACCAACGACCTCAACGATCACAAATATGTAACAAGTTTCTACAATGATCAAACTTGTTGCTCGGAACCATCTTAGTGAGCATATTCGTCGGATTATCCTTCGTATGGACTTTCACAATCTCCACATCGTCATCTTCAAGAACATCTCGAACGAAGTGATAACGAACGCCAATGTGTTTCGTTCTCGCATAAAAAACCTGATTGTTCGCCAAATAGATAGCACTCATGCTATCACAATAAATAATGACGGACCTCTGCGATATACCAAGTTCCTCCAAAAGTCCCCGAAGTCAAATAGCTTCCTTCACAGCCTCCGTAATTACCATATACTCTGCCTCCGTCGTAGACAAAGCTACTGTAGACTGTAAGGTGCATTTCCAACACACCGGCGCACGGGTCAAAATGAAGACATACTCCGTCGTAGACCAGCGCTTATCCAAATCCCGGCATAATCCGAATCCACATATCCAATGCACAACTGCCCACCTGTAGTGTCCCGCTCATAAACCAAACCAATATTGAGCGTACCTCGAATGTACCTCAAAATCCATCTCACGGCGTCCCAATGACCCACTCCTGGATCGTGCATGTATCTCGAAACCATACTCAACGCCTGTGACAAATTCGGCCTCGTACATACTATCGCGTACATCAAGCTCCTAACCGCGCTCGCATATGGAGTCTTTGACATCAACTCTCAATTTTCAACTGATTTTGGTGAAAGACCAGCTGAAAGCTTCAAATGGGCTCCTAATGGTATACTAACTGGCTTCGTAGCCATACAAACATGAAATCGCTGTAAAACCTTCTTCAAATAAGCTATCTGTGTCAAATAAATTCTGTCATTCTTCTTGTCTCTACCAATCTCCATCCCTAAAATGCGCTTCGCCTCGCCCAAGTCCTTCATCTCAAACTCATTTGAAAGCTGAACTTTCAACTCATCTATAGCTGACGTGGAAATAGAGGCAACCAACATGTCATCGACATAAAGCAACAAATAAATGTACGTATCTCCTCTTAACTTGCGAAAATACATGTAAGGATCAAACTAGCTGCGAGTGTACGAATAACCAAGCATAAAACCATCAAACTACCTATACCACTGTCGAGGAGACTGCTTCAATCCGTATAGCGATTTTTTTAACCTGCAAACCAACTTATCTTTTCCTGCAGCTCGGAATCCCAATAGCTGAGTCATATATATTTTTTCATCAAGATCACCATGAAGAAATACAGTCTTCACATCCAACTGATCTAACTTTAATCCATACTGTGCCATCAAAGCTAGCAAAATCTGAATCGAAGAGTGCTTCACCACCGGAGAGAAAACCTCATTATAGTCAACACCTTCCTCCTATGCATAGCCCTTCACAATCAACCTAGGTTTAAACCTCAATGGAGTGCCCTCAATACCCTCCTTCTTCGTGTATACCCACTTATAACTAATCGTCTTTCTTCCCTTTGGAAGCTCAACAAACTCCCATGTATCATTCTTATGAAGAGACTCCATCTCCTCCTGCATAGCTACCTGTCATGAATCAGCCTCCGAACTCTACTCGGTCTCTCTGAAAGTAGTAGGTATCATCTCATCGATACTCTCCACCGGAAGTGCATACGCAACTGTGCCGACATACCGTGCTGGCATCCGTATGTCTCTCTTCTGTCTCCGAACCGTAATAGAATCCTGAACCGGAAGTACATCAATACCTGTATCCTCCGTTTCATCGCCATGCTTGCCTGACATCACCTCAGTCGGCACTCTAATGGATATTGCACCATTTGGACACTATAGAGCTACATCGATCTCCACCACTTGTGATATCTCCTCTGTCGGATCGCTCTCCACCTGATGAGAGTTGGGAATCTTTAAGATAGAAGTCTCATCAAATGTGACGTCCCTGCTTAGCACAATCTTCCTATCAACTGGATCACATAGCTTGTATCACTTGACACCACGCTTGAATCCTACAAATATGACCTTTCTAGCTCGAGGTTCTAATTTATCTGTTCTAACATGATAATATGTAGGATAACCAAATACCTTGAGCTGGTCATAATCATGTGTTGTCTCTCCCGATCACATCTCCATAGGGGTCTTCCCCTCAATCGCAGATGAAAACAGCCTATTAATGAGGTGACTCGCATATATAAGTGTCTCTGCCTAAAAGATCTTCAAACCATTCTGCACCAATAAGCATCGGACTTTCTCCAGTAAAGACCGATTTAGCCTCTCTGCCATTCTATTCTGCTGCGATGTATGACTAACTGTGAAGTGCCTCTCTATGCCCTCGTCTCGACATAGCTACTGAAAGGGGTCTAAAGTGTACTCGCCGCCGTTATCGGATCGTAACGTCTTGATCTTTCTCTCAGTCTGTAGTTCTAATCTCTTCTTTCACTTCACAAATAAATCTAGGACTTCATACTTATGCTTTATGTTGTACACCTAACAACGTCTAGAATAGTCATCAACAAACGTGACGAACTAATGTCGATCACCAAGTGATGCCGTCTTGGTAGGACCCCAAACATCTGTGTGCACGTAGTCCAGGATGCCCCTTGTCCTATGAATAATAGTCCCGAACTTCATCTTTGTTTTCTTGCTAATAACACAATGCTCACAGAAATCCACTTTTTCACTCTTGGTTCCTTTTAATAGCCCCTGCTTACACAAAGCCTGCAGTAACTTCTCTCCTGTATGCCCCAACCTGTATTGCTAAAGTCTACTCATGTCCGTCTCTGAAATAGCTGAAGTAACCTGACCAATCTCGGTGCTCCCCTTCAGATAATATAAGTTTCGACTGCGGACTCCCTTCATCACCACTAAAAATCCCTTAGTAACCTTTGTTACAGCGTCTTCAAATGTCACCTTGAATCCCTTCGCCTCCAAAGCTCCAACAGAAATAAGATTCTTCTTCAGCTGAGGATAAGAACGAATCTCACCTCCTTCAATTTACGGACTATCCCATCGTGCATCCGAATCCGCACGGTACCTATCCCACAAATATCACAGGATTGATTATTTCCCATGACAATAACACCCCCATCAAGTCTCTCAAATGATACAAATCAATCTCGCCTAGGGATCACATGATAAGTAGTGCCAGAATCAAGCATCTAATCTGATGCATCCAAATGGTTCACCTCCGGGGTAATCAAAAGAGAAAAGCTCGAATCATCAGAATCATCGCCTTTCGTAACGTTCACCTCATTGGCCTTCGGGTCCTTTTTCTTGCTATTCTCCTTCTCTTTTATCTTTGGATAATCTCTTTTCCAATGCTATTATTCCTTACAGAATGCACGTTGGTTCTTTCCTAGCTGGTGACGACCTCTTGACTTTGACCTTCCTTTATTTTCACCTTTCGGATATGGGCTTCTACCTCTTGTCGATAAGACCTCTCCTGAAGTACTAGCACGGAAAGTCTTTTTATCCTTCCTCCTCAAATCGTAGTTCGTCAATGCGTTAGTCACTTCACTATAAGTGATAGAAGATCTCCTGTTCAACAAAGTAAGCACGAATGTATCATACTCCTCATCCGGTAAGGAATCCAAAAGAATAATAGCCTTGTACTCATCCGTGATCTTCTCATCCACGTTCACCATGTCCGACAACAACTTAGTGTAGTTGTTCACATGAGTCGTAGGCGAGGTGCCTCTGAACATCTGAAATCTGAATAATCTTCACAGCAAGTGCAAACGATTCTCAACACTCTTCGTAAGGTACTTATTGTTGAGAATTTTTCACATCTTTATTGCAGACGTCACCCCAATCACATCATATTTTAGCTCCTGTTCCAAACAAGACCTGATCACACCGCAAGCGTTCCTATTCATCTTTTCCTATATTGCCTCTTCATATTTAGGTGGTCTCTCATTGATCATGATGATCTCTTTCAAATTTTGAGCATTGAGCGCATCATGTACGTCACTCATCCATAAACCAAAATTGATTTTACCGTCATATTTTATTACACTAATCTTAGTGTTCTGAAAACCAACTTGAACTGTATCTACCATCTTGCTGCTTTCACCAACTTTTTCACCCATAATCACAAATTCCAAATTGCAAAGAAAGATTCAAACTTTATAGAATTTAGAAGTTACCCAACTGAACCCTAGATTGGATTCCAAATAAAACTCCTAACCATACGAGAAAAACGAGATCTTCAACGATAACTTCAAACCCTAACTCCACCGAAGCCTAGAATTCCAAAAACCAAGCTTCCAACTGAATCTTCCTCCACCTAATCCAAAACCCTAGATCTGAAATCTGAGCTCTGATACCACTTGTTGCGAACCTGAACACCAATGTCGCGCACCTATGCGGAAGCGTGCACGCACACACTGAACGAGTCTGAACTGAGAAGAAGAGAACCACACACAAGCACAATCCAATCCAAATATGACAAATCCAAATCAAACACAGAGATATACGTGGTTCGGCAATTTGCCTACGTTCACGGGGAGATGATGAGGAGATTCCACTAAATCAAGGAGAGTACAAAAGGGTTATAATCATACAAAATCACTCCAACTAACCCTCAACCAAAGCTCTCAACTTGCTCACAATACCTCCCTCTCACAATGCTCAAATCTCTTATATCTCTCTGCTATATTAGAAACCCTAAACAACCCCTTTTATGTGTAATAACATGGGTGGCAAAGTGGTAAATAACCAAGCGCAAACCCCACAGGAATTCGTGCAAACATAGACCCAAACGAACCAAGAAACCGTCGATGAGTCGACTCATGACTGAGGTGAGTCGACTCATCAGAAACTTGACAAAACAGAAACCATCTCGATGAGTCGACTTATGATTGAGGTGAGTCGACTCGTCAGAAACTTGTGACAAAACGGCTGGGTTTCGTGAGTCGACACATGACAGGCATGAGTCGACTCAACCTCAACCTGATGAGTCGACTCATGTGCATGTATGAGTCGACTCACAATCTGAAAACTGGATTTTCTGAATTCTTCCACATTAAGACGAGCAGATCGCCTTTGTGGGCACCCTGAGCCAATCAGATCACTGCAGGAAACAGGTCTTTTGAAAAGTTACGAGGCATGCAGCTCGTTGTTGTAGGCAGGTTGGACCCAATAGCGATGCAGATTGTCGTTATAGGCAGTTTGGACCCAATAGGTAGTGATTTGAAGGATATTGTACATTTATCATGAACTCCTTATGCGGATTGAATTTAAAAATATGTTACTTCAAATATAGACATTTATATGACTATATACATGGTTTTGTTTACATAAATTATTGAACATGTACCACTTACCAAGCACTTGGAAAGCACACTCCAAACTAACATTTTCGGTTGGGGCTTGAGGGACTGAGTTCAATGTCTCGAGGACATGAAGCCGACCTCTCTTATCTAGCAAGTATATGGGTAACAAAGTGGTCCCACTCAAAGGAGAATTCATAATATGTATGTTTGAGTAGGAGTTCTATTATTTGTTAAGGAGTTTTTGGAGTTAATACATAATGTAGTTTTGGTGATATACATGCGTTATGACTAGACAAGTGGATGTATAAATTGATGATCTATGTTTGGACTTGGAAGATGTTTCTACAGAGCATATATCTGGATTCTGGAATATATGAGCATATTGGAGTTAGACCTCTTGTTAAGAAGATTTATGGCTGACTGCCACATGCCTTGAATTTTAAAGTTGATTAATATTTTTGTGGGTGTTACTAACCAATTTCCTTGTAACTTTATGCCTTACATAGTATGACAGAAAATTAAAGTCACGCCATAATTGAACATTCTCGGTAGGAAATATTATGAAATGCGTTTCTGGAAAATATTTCTAAACATAAAGGTTGATAAGTATGTGTTTCTCTTGTGAAGTTGGGTAGAAACTTATAATCTAATTAACTATGTAATCTGTATTAGTTATGCAGAATATGAGATAATTGGCTTAACACCCTCCATATGATCTACTCTGCTATTTTTATCCTTTAGTGCTCCAATTTTCTAATGCATTATGGTATACGATTTTCAGGCCACTATTGGCATTGATTTTCTGTCGAAGACAATGTACCTTGAAGATCGCACAGTTCGCTTACAGCTTTGGTAAGCAGTCTGCATCCTTTTCCTAAGAAAAAAGATGCTGCCTAAGTTGAACTTTATCTTTCTTCGCATATGATTTGATATTTATATTGGATATTCATACTTATAATTGTCGTAAAGAAAACCCAAATATACGATCTGAAAAGATTCTTGTAGGGAAAATATAGATGGAATTTTGTTATCTTTTAGCCTGTGATGGAGAGAATGACAGTCAGGTTGTATTGCAATGCATCCTAATGGATATCATACTTAGTAATTGTCAGTAAAGAAACCCGATTATACTGATCTGAAAGGATTCTATGTAGGGAAAAATAGAATGGAAAATTTGTTATCTTTTAGCCTGTGACGGAGAGAGAATGACCGTCAGGTTGTTAGCAAATGCATCCCGAAACTAGATCATACTAACAAACCAGAAACTTTTTATCTATAATAATTTACTTGTTTATTAATAGTTCTTATGATGGATATAACATTGTATTTGTTTGCTTGTTGGAAATGATAGCTCTATTTTCCATTCATGATATTGTACTATATGGGCTATACTGTCACGTTCAACTTATTAAGTAGAGCCCATATAGTGAAATCACAACTAGATGGATATATAACTTGTCTATGTAAGGTTTAACCTTTAATATAGTATTGTTTTGGTGGGTGTGCACATGAATGCATGTGCATTCGATTTTGTGCACATGCAAAGCTTGAGCGCACATGCAAGATTATCCGGATACACATGCAAGCATTGTTCATGTAACATTGGATGCAAACTTGTTCAAGGTATATTATTTATCCATTAAATCACCATCATAATATTTGCAGCTAGTTCTCAGGTATTGTTTTTTCTTCTCCATACTTAGCAGTCTCAATGTTTATTACTTTGACAGAGTATGTTTTTCATAAGTAACTTGGTTCATGTTAATGAGAGAAACAAGTGAAGTGATAAACTAGAATGGAAGTGTTCTTTTCTATAGTATCTCCACAGCCCTTGAGTAGAATTCTGTATAATATGTCCCATAATAGCCTGCAGTCATGATGTCACCTTGTGTATACTTAGGCATGAGTAATGGAACTAAAGCAAAGACCAAGAAACACTGCATATACAAGACCCTTTCTTATTCTTACCTGTCTCACAACACAATGTTTTATGCGGATTTAAGAAAAAACTCAGAAATGTATGTTAAGTAAAAACAATCTCATAATATTCATTGCATAAAAAACCTTTTGTATAATTAGGTTGCATTTTTTTAATAGCAACGAAGTTATAACTCTTATATTATCCAGATGCTAACCATTGAATATCGTGAATCCTGCTCTTCCAATCAGTAGTGTTGAGGGCTATCTCCTCCACTATGTTGCTCATTATCATATCCTTCCTAACGAAGTTTACTTAGCTACCTCTAGTCCGTCATCCATTAATAATAATCTTATCACTTCTCCTATTTGGTGCATTTAGTGGCCTTCATTCCACATGACCAAACCATCTCAAACAAGTTTCTTATTTTATCCTCAGCAGGAGCAACCTCCAACTTCCTATTAAATATGTTCATTTATTATCTTATTATCCCTTACTGTATATCCACTCATCCAACCATCTATAGGATCAATGAAGTTTATGCATGCTTCTGCTTAGATCTGTAAACAAGCAATAATTGTTCCCTTATCACTTACGGGAGTAACTCATTGGACAAACATGAAAACATATGTCTATATGTGTGTTTATATTTGCGTGTGTGCATGTGCTTTAACTTTTTGTTTAACCAATCTGATATAACATCTTCTGTCTCCTTAAAATTTGCAGGGATACTGCTGGGCAGGAGAGATTTAGGAGTCTTATTCCAAGCTACATTAGAGATTCTTCTGTTGCAGTCATTGTTTATGATGTTGCAAGTAAGCCGTTTTTAATTGTCATTTTGGCAAAATTTCCTCACATGCCATATATAAAACTTTGCAGAGATATTCTTGAAAGAGACATTGGTTTCCATAACTTTCGAGGATATATATGTAGAATTTTGATTGGCATTGGAAGCATATTTTCTACGTAATCAACTGAATAGTCCGATCATGTGATTATACAAAGATGAGAACTGTTTTCTTTACCTGGTTTGTTTCCTCAGACATGGTTTAATTTTGTCAACTGAGCATCTTAATATTTTAAGACAATTTTTACTAGAAACATAATGCATACACTTCGCTATTGTAGTCCTTATTATTCACTTTTCAGTACCCTTAGTTATATTCTCAATCTTGTATTAAAACAAACATGGCATACAGATTTAGGTAAATCATTAAGTTTAAGATAATTGCAACTGGTAACACTGTGAATTATGCTATCATTTTCATGATTGTTCCCTGGATAAGATGGTAAATTTTACTCATTCTGCTAAATCTATAATGACCAGTCCTCAAATACTTTAAATTGTTGATTTTAAATGAACAAAAGATTACACCTCTAGGTTCTGTATTATGGGTCAAGCTTTGTTATGCCAGGCAGCATAGGAGGAGCATGACATTAGGAATCAACAACAGAAAATCCTTATATTCAGGCTTCAGGATGTGTAGGGTTTTATGGATAGTTAACAGTTACTAAAAGTTTGATATCCGTATTTTAAAAAATTAAATAAATTAAAGAACTAATAGCAACAAAGTCTTCCACCCAAAACTTGGCATCCTAATCCTTTTTGTCCCTCCCTTTCAGCTCCTGTTATATTGACAGTTTTTAGGCTTTCAATGAAAAAAAGTTGATAGATTTATCTATAAAACAGGCATGTATAGTTAGGTACAGAATAAGCTTGGCCGACATATGCACCACTCGTTCTAGAGTAAAAACTATTAAATTAAGTTGTGGGCCTTGTAAAAATCATCCACAAGTTAACCACTCCTTCTAGAGTAGAAACTATTAATTTCAGTTGTATGCCTCTCACAAAAGGTTTCTGCATCTAATAATATAACTATGCTAAATTGTATGTCACATTTTTATTTTTTGCCTTGACAGACCGACAATCCTTTTTGAACACTTCAAAGTGGATTGAGGAAGTACGCACAGAACGAGGTGGTGATGTTATTATTGTCCTTGTTGGAAACAAAACAGATCTTGTTGAAAAAAGGTGATAAATGAGGAACATATTATTCTATTTGTTTTTTCAATGCTTCTGCATTTACGTTTTCATTACTTAAAGAGTATCCTCCTCATTTTTGAATACCTTGAGGTTCATTACATGGCTTATGTTGTCACTTTAAGATAATAGTCAGAGAAGTATTTGTTACCTTTATGTGCTGTTATTTACATGTTAATGTAATCAGAAGAAATTAGTAAACTCAGAGAAGTATTTGTTACCTTTATGTGCTGTTATTTACATGTTAATGTAATCAGAAGAAATTAGTAAACTTGTAGTTATTTATTGCTTTTTTTTATGCTGTTATTTACATGTTAATGTAATCAGAAGAAATTAGTAAACTTGTAGTTATTTATTGCTTTTTTTTATCAGTTTCTAGCTATTACATTGTATTTTGGTTTTGGATTCAGGAGCTGGTTCTATTCAAATCTTTCTTATTCTCAATCTTACCCAGATATTTGTGGCTGGTATCATGGCTACATCCTGTTTCTCGGTTGTTGAAAATGTTCCTTGTAATAAATCATGGTCTAATTGGTTGCTATTTTCATAGTTTAAGAGAAGTTTTGAACTCATATTCACCAGTACAAGAGTTTACGAGTAAAATCTCTATTACTGAAACTTCGTTTACTTAAATGGATTATATAGGCATACAATGCGATGAAAGTCTTTTGTTTTTCTTTTTTTTTTCACATGATTTTAAAGTAAGGTACAAATAATTCTTACATAGATTGGCTTCTATCTTGTGTTGTTTGAATGAATGAGACCAGTAACTTCTAACATACCCTACTATGAGGTGTGTATATGAATGAGAAATCGTTTTGAGTTTATTAATCCTATACATGGTCAAGAGATATTCATATTTGTTGACTGCAGAACTAAGGTGGATTTCTTTTTCCCCCTTCAAAAACTAAAAGGATCGTTGTCCTTTTTCTTTAGTTTACATGATACTCTTGCATCTCTCTATAACTACCTATCGTCATGTTGCTTTCATTGTGGTTTAACAGGCAAGTCTCTATAGAAGAAGGAGAAGCAAAGTCCCGTGAAGTTGGTGTCATGTTCATAGAGACCAGTGCTAAAGCTGGATTCAATATCAAGGTTAGTAAACTGCAACTGTAAAAAAAATTCAATAAATTGATCTCTAAAAAAATGAATATAACGTGTTGTGTTATGAATTACAGCCACTATTCCGAAAGATTGCTGCAGCCCTGCCAGGAATGGAGAACCTCTCTTCCACAAGACAGGAAGATATGGTCGATGTAAACCTGAAGCCCACAGTAAGCTCATCCAACACTGAGCAACAATCAGGAGGCTGTGCCTGCTAGAAGAGAGCAAGAACTTTTTGTCTATAAGGTGAGAGCTCTTACCAGTTGGTGATAGTACAATTTGAACTTCAACCATAAATGCACAGTGCAAGAGATATTGTCATTCCTCGTTGCTATAAGATGATACATCTACATAATTTAGGGAATGAAGGACAGTGCAAGAGATATTGTCATTCCTCGTTGCTATAAGATGATACATCTACATAATTTAGGGAATGAAGGAGCCTTCAGTTTCCAGAATCACTTCTCGTTGCTATAAGATGATACATCTACATAATTTAGGGAATGAAGGAGCCTTCAGTTTCCAGAATCACTTGTTTCCTTTGTTCTCGTGACGTGTTGTTGCTCAATAGTGTATGATGGATATTCCCATTATTTTGTTTTGTTTGTCATTCTTCTTTATTTCCATACCGAGCTTGAATGTTGTTATGTTATAAGCTTGATAATTTTGAATATGTGTTTTGTAAACTTTAATTTGTTTTTTGGGTTAGAGAGAGGTTTCAATTTATCAGTATGTTTAGTGATTTACAGTCCAGTATTATTGTGATTACCTTTTGTTATTTGGCGTGAAATTGCTTTCTTTCTAAATCGTAGTTAGCCTGTAGAAAATCAGTGGTGTTGTTTTATTTGAAATGTATGTCTTTCTCCCTCTCTTTTAAGAGAGAATGTAATTAGGCATTCTTACTGTCTTGCAACTTTCTGAGTTACAATTGCTGGGTGCTTGAGACGTCATTTACATGGTTGCACTCTGTTATGTATCTGAAAATGCTCAAAGCATGAAGTGCTTCACGAGAACAGTGGAATATGAATCTTTTATTGTATGGTGAGAATATTTAATGTTTTTACTATGTATGGCTCTGGTGATGAAATTATATGCAAGTCAACTCTTGAGTAAAATTAACTTGAACTTGGACAATGTTGTGAATCGCTACTCACAAGTAATAAGCAAGTAATGAACCATTGGAATTTGAAATGTAGAGGGGTCCCCCCCCCTCCCCAACCCGCCACCCTCATTATCGTTATTAGAATTTACAGCAAGTGTAATTACATAACACTACAGTACAAAATTTTATGTAAAATCGGTGATTTCTCCGCCTGTAAAACATGTAATCAGAAACCCTTAGCCCCTCGGCCACCTCCTTTCATCTCTCTCTCTCTCTCTCTCTCTCTCTCTCATCTCAGTATTCAAAAACAAGTTCTCGATAACAAATAAAATCTACGGGTTTCATCTCTCTCTCTCTCTCTCTCTCTCTCTCTCTCTCATCTCAGTATTCAAAAACAAGTTCTCGATAACAAATAAACTCTCTCTCTCTCTCTCTCTCATCTCAGTATTCAAAAACAAGTTCTCGATAACAAATAAAATCTACGGGAAAAACTTGGACGAATCAAAGTTTCTAAAATCGGAATCATAGATTTCACGTCATTCCAAGTTGGTTGTCTACTTTGCTGCCTTTTGCTAGAAACTCCTCTGCCTTGGACTCCTCCTCTGCAGCCTCCAGGAGCTTTTTAATGATTACTTGTTTGGTTAATGTAATGTAATCTGTAGTAGCTTAGCTAAGCCAGTGGCATTGTATGTGATTGGATTGTTGGTGTGCTATGGTATCCTGGCGCATGAATGAAATTGGTGGCTGTTACATGCGATCATGAAGTTGAGTAGATCATTTATTGCTTTTCTTCTTGTAAACAGATAAGCTACATGAACAAATGAGTTGTCCATTTGATATTCTGAGTGTCATTGGTCAAAAATAGTAGTTGGGATTGCAAGTGCATTCGCAACAGGAAAACTTAGCAACAGATGCGCTTCATTGTTGACTTGATAGGCCAAAAATAATATGCTTACTCCTTAAATTTATGTTTTGCATTGATCCAATGACTCTTCTTTCTTGACACGTCAAATGTTAACAAATAATACGCTTCTTTTCAGACTAAAAATTCAATAAGACCAACTATGCGATAAGAATCATAGATGTTAGTTGTTTTTTTGGAATCCCAGCTAAAATAGATCAGCCAACCAAAAGACACGTTACTCTCTTCTTGGTCCAATAATTTTAGGTCCAAACCCTAATTTCCCTTTGGAACATTAGCTTTGTCCCTTTGGTAAGCATACACAATATTAGTAGCTAAAAATCATGTGTATTTATAGTAGTAATATCATGTAGCTGCACTTTCGTCTTTTGGTAAGCATCTGGAATACCAAATGATTTACGGCTAAATACCCATATTGGTATTTTAATTCCACCCAATTTACCAAGAATGTATTTTAATTAGGCAAACCTGCTTTAAGGTATTTTAATTGATTCAACTTACTAACAATGCCTTTTTTCTCGTCAGCGATCAGTTTTCCGGCGAGAGCTCGTCACGTGCGTGGCACATGATGACTTAAACTGTTTTTTAGCTGCTGATGTGGCACGGATTTTCTGACGTGGTAGTGTTTAAAGGCGGGAATTAACCCTCTAAAAATCTCAATTCACCCAAAATAGGACAGATCAGTGTCACATCAGCAGCTAAAAAACAGTTTAAGTCATCACGAGCTCCGCACGTGACGAGCTCTCGCCGGAAAACTGGTCGCTAACGAGAAAAATGGCCTTGTTGGTAAGTTGAATCAATTAAAATGCCTTAAAGCAGGTTTGCCTAAGGTTTGCCTAATTAAAATAACTTCTTGATAAATGGGGTGGAATTAAAATACCAATATGGGTATTTAGCCAATAATTTACCCATGAAATTTTATTTATTTATTTATTTATTTTTCTGAGAAAAGTAATTTATCTTGTTGAGTGGTTATTCAGTGATTTATCCAAGGTTATCAACAACCAAGCACACGCAGCAGCTTCACGCCCTCGCCCCTGCCTCCACTGTATATAACATAACCTCCATCTCCCGCTTGAAAGCATGAAAATAAAGAGGAGCACGGATGGACTCCATTGCTCTTCCCAAAATACCCCTTATCCCTTCCACCCATCACATAAACCCTAATTCCTGCCACTCTTTCAGAACCCTCCCTCCTCTAAAATCCTCCTCTTTCCTCCTAAACTCCCTGAGGCGATGGAGACGGCGGCGGGGAGACGGAGTCGAGGTCGGTTGCGGTCGGGGAGACGGAGGAGGTTTCAGATTTGGGGGACGATCATGATGCTATAGTTCTAAGTGTTGAAGTAAGAGATTTGATTTTTGTTTAATCTTTTTACAGAAAAAAAGAAAAAAGAAAAATAGAACTTTTGAAGGGGATTTTTAGTGTGGAATTTGGTGATTTAATTTCAGGGGATGTCTTGTGATGGATGTGCTGCGAGCGTGAAGCGTATCTTGGAAAGTCAAGTAAGATTAATAAATTCACTTAAATTTATGTTTTTTAATTAAATTAGATATTAGTAGTTTTAGACTCCTAAGCATCGGAAATTTTTAATTCGGTCTCAATCAAACTGTGATTTTTGCGCACTATAATGACCTCATTCTTGGAGAAATGTTATGCAAACTTAGACATTGCTGGAGTTAAAATTGTTGTATTATCATTTCACAGCAATAAAAACATGTTTAGCAATGTGCATAGATGCCTATCCAAGGAGTAGCCCTCAAACAAGAGATTAAATTGTTGAATAATGGAATTGGGAGATGTTTCTGTTTGCAGTGTTTCATCAAGAATCCTGCTATATGTCTGCACTAAATTAGCCTTTACAATGCTCGACACTGCACAGCTTGGGTAGATGATACCAAAATTGATGTTACATTATGAAGGAATTTAGTAGATAATGATCCAAATTGATTTTTTTTCCTCCTCAAATGAATGAAGAGGCAATCATGCTCAGATGCTTCGCATGCTCATGGGAGACTGGATTTGGGGCAATATTTAGAGCTGTCTGATTGAAGAACTGTTGGGTATAGATAATACCCGAGCCTAGTAAAAGATAAATGAGTCAATTAAATTCATAGCTAGATTTCACAACATGGTATTCAGCTTGAGATAGTGAGCGAGAAATTGCAGCTTGTTTCTTTATCTTCCGTATATTCTTGAAAAGCATGATACAATATTCAACAATGAGAGGATGAGTCGTTGAACAACTAGTCCGATCAGAGTCACAAAGCACTCTTGAGTTGAAGATTATTATTTGAAGAAAGTAATACTCCTTAACCTAGAGATTCTTCTAGGTAGCAAAAAAAAAAACTCTTGGAAGTAGCAAGATGAAGTCGATGAGGCCTATGAAGAATATGTATAACATTGGCAATATGAGGATGCGTGATGGTGAAGCAAATGAGACAATCCACCAAACATTTATAGTGGGTTTAGGAGGAGTATCAACATCACCATCAACAAGATGTGGCTTTTGCATTGCAGGGAAATAAATAAAATGAGCACTTAGAAGAATGCAATTTCAAGAGCGTTTGCATTGAGACACATGTACATACCTTTGTGGACAAGGGAACTTCAATCCCAAAAAGCATCTAAGTGGACCTTAATCTTTAGCATGAAATTGATGGTGCAATAAAACATTGAAATGAGCAATTTCTACATTGTGATTTCTGGTAACAGTTCAATTGTCAATATAAAGTTATCACACAATAAAGGATGGCAAGTAGTGTGATGAATAGGGAACAATGAAAATTATGTAATCATAAACCAGATTGGTGAGAGCAATCAAAGCAGTCAGGGGGTAGTGGGCACAGATGGTGGAGAAATTGAGATGAATTATCTATACATTCTAGAGAAGGGTTATTATTAAGTGGAGACTGGTTTATGAATTAATATATAACAAAACAAAGTCTGTGGTCGGAGGTAAGATGGCATTTTGATTAGAACAAGGGACAAAGCTTTTCATGAAAAACTACATTATAATTATTAATTGTTTCCTGTGTTGCGAGCAAGGTTTCAAATATCAGTTATTGGGGATTTATCGGACGGTCAGAATCCATATCGGATAGCAGATATCGGGGATATATCGGGGATAAATAGTATTTATCGGAGTGACATTAGCAGATGGTGAGATACATAATATAATATGCTAAAATATAATCTAACAATACCTAATGAGATATAAACATACCAAAATATAAATAATTATGTTTAGGATCACTAACCTATGGTAGAAACTCGGGTCGGGTTGGGTTTAAAGTGCATTGAATAGGTAACCATTGTCCAAAATCAAAACTCAAACCAAAGGCCGATAAATCCAATTTTTTAGCCGACAATATTGGCCGATAACTCACTTCATCGCTGCATTATCGATGATAAATATCCAAAAACAATAACCGATTTAGAATCGAACTTATCATAACGGAAGGCCCCCAAAACCAATAAATTGCCGATAATATCAGTTTATCGGTCGATATCTAAAACATTAGTTGCGAGATTAAAAGATGTCCCAAATAGATACTAAGGAAAATGTACTTGTCAGCTCTCAAAGCAAACCTAGGTTAGTTTGATTTCATGTACAAGTGTTCACAAAACACACTGAAATACTTCAAGTAAATGTTCAAATGATTGTTGAACAACACTTCATATGATGCTTGTTTGAACAGTTTGGTATAGTATAGACATTTAATTAATAAGTTAGCAACTAAAAGATGTGTTTCT